TTCTGAAGGTTTGGAAAATTTTCTGTTATTATTTTCATGAAGAGATTATCCATTGCCATTAACCTGCATCTTAGAATCCTCTTTAATTCCAATGATTCTTAAATTTGGTGTCTTAATGTTTCAGAGTTCTTATATATTCTGATCATGTTTGTTTGTTTGTTTGTTTACTTATTTTTGAGGTACCGGGGATCCTGCTGCCTCAGCCTCCTGGGCTGCTGAGATTACAGGTGTGCACTGTGCCCAGCCATGTTTACTTATTTTCTTTGCTTTAATACTATGTGAATGTTCAAGGCTGCCCACTTCATCTGCCAGCTCTGAAATTCTGTCTTCAGTATGGTCTACTCTATTAGAGAGTCTTTTAACTTAACATTTAAAAAAAATTATTGTTTTTTTTCCCCAAGATTTCTATTTAGTTCTTTTTCAATATCTCTGTCTCCATTGCTGGGTGTGATGATGTATGCCTATAATCCCAGTAACTTTGGAGTCTGACATAAGAGGATTATGAATTCAAAGCCACTTCAGGAACTTAGTGAGACCCTAAGCAACTTAATGAGACCCTGTCACAAAATAAGAAATAAAAAGGGTTGGGTATGTAACTTAGTGGTTAAGTTCCCCTAGGTTCAATCCCTGATACCAAGAAAAAAAATCTCTATCATTTAATTTCTCACTTTTCAGTTTTTTTTTCTGTGTTCTCTTGGAATTCTTTAATCATTTTTTATTGGTTCTTTTTATTTATATGTGGCAGTAGAATTCATTTTGATAAACTTTACAAGCATGGAATATATCTTATTCTAATTAGGACCCCATTCTTTTGGATGTACACAGTGGTGGGATTTACTATGGTATATTTTGTGTATGTAAATAGGAAAATTATTCTGAATTAATTCTTTTCTTTTCCTATACCCTTTCCCTTCCTTTCTTTCCCTTTTATTTAATCTACTGAATATCTAGTCCTCTTTCCCCTCTCTTGTGAGTTAGCTTCCACATATCAATGGAAACATTTGACCTTTGGCCTTTTGGGACTGGCTTATTTCACATAGCTTGATAGTCTCCAGATCCAGCCATTTACTGGCAAATGTCATAAAGTCATTCTTCTTCATGGCTGAGTAATATTCCTTTGTGTATGTATATCAAATTTTCTTTATCCATTCATTTGTTGAAGGGCACCTAGGTTGACTCCATAGCCTAGCTATTATGAATTGAGCTTCTATAAACATTGATGCGGTTGCAACACTGTAGAATGCTGATTTTAAATCCTTTGGATATATACTAAGGGGTGGGATAGCTGGGTCAAATTGTGGTTCCATTCCTAGCATTTTGAGGAATCTCCATATTGCTTTCCATAGTGGTTGCACCAAAAATTTGCAGACCCACCAGCAATGTATGAGTGTACCTTTTCTCCCTAACCTCACCAACATTTTTTTGTTACTTGTATTTTTGATAATTGCCATTCAGATTGGAGTGAGATGAAATCTCAGTGTAGTTTTAATTTGCATTTCTTTAATTGCTAGAGGTGTTGAACTTTTGTTCATGTATTTGTCAACCATTTGAATTTCTTATTCTGAGAAGTATCTGTTCACTTCTTTTGCTTTTATTGATTGGGTTATTTTTTTAAAGTTTTTTTTTTTTTTTTTTTTTACTTCTTTATATGTCCTGGGAATTAATGTCCTATCTGAGGTGCAGGTGACAAAGATTTTCTCCCATTCTGTAGGCTCTCTCTTCATGCTCTTGTTTCCTTTGCTGTGAAGAAGCTTTTAATTTGATACCATGCCATTTATTGATTATTGATTTTGCTTTTTGAGATCTACACTTTCACCACTTCTATTCAACATAGTTCTTGAAACTGTTGCCAGGGCATTAGGCAAAAGAAAGACATTAAGGGAATGTGAACAGAAAAAGAAGAGCTCAAACTTTCTCTGTTTGCCAATGACATGATTCTATATTTAGAAGATCCAAAAAAACTCCACCAGAAAACTTCTAGAACTTACAAGTTAATTCAGCAAAGTAGAAAGGTAAAAAAAATGACACCTATAAATCAGTTGCATTTCTATACTCCAACAAACCAGCTGAATGAGAAATTATGAATTCTTTGATCATTTTTATAAGCATGCTTTTGAATTCTTTATCTGATATTTCATTCACTTCAATGTCTTTGGAGTTCGTTGCTGTTGAATTATGAACTTTAGGTGGCATCATGTTACCTTGCTTTTTCTTGTTTTCCTGTGTTGGGTTTTATACATGTATTGGGATAGATGAGTCTTTCACTCTTACGTGTGGATCTTTCGAGGGCCCAGCCTCCTCTTGCCAGTGTTCTAGACCCCACTGAAGATGTGATGTCCACCACCTTTGTTTTAATTCTGTTTTTGTTGTAGGGATGAATGTCCAGGAGTAGAACCTGACACTTTCCCTTGCTGGCTGTTCCTATTTGGGACTGATCGTTAGTTTGGGGTTATGTTTCTTCTGTTCTTTCTATTAAAGTACAATTGACATTTGAGTGAGGCAAATTTGTATGTAGAACAAGGTGAACAGTCTTTTGGCTGGGTTTAGTTTAGCAGCAGAGTCTTTACCCTGTGAACTTGTAGTATCCCTGCAGATTCCCAGCACTGCACAGAAAAAGGAGAAAGAAACAACAGCAGCAATCAAGGCAAACAATATACAGCATTAAAATAAATACGTTCCCAACAGTGATTACCATGAAAATAGGAATGGAGGGGTTACCAGTTGTTAGCAAAAAACAATAAATAGCCAGGAACCAAATCTGGTAGTTAAATGCACAGCAGATGTCAACTGTGTCATCCACAGCACTAATAACTGCAACAACATGAGTGGGTGGAGTGGAGTAATATAGACCTAATGGTTCTAACAGATGATAAAATGAAGTTTATTAAAAGAAAATGTGATAGGGAGGTAGAAGAGAGTTTAGAGTGTTCAAAATATGAACAGAGATAATGCAGAAGAGATGTATCTGGTGTGGTTATAGAAAAGGAGGAGGGATAATAGAAAAACCAAAGTAAAGGAGAAAGAAATAGGAAATGAGAGAACTCAGCTGTTAGCAGAATAATGGAGAGAAAGATAAACAAGAAAACCAAACAAAAATGAAACAAAGTCAAAATAGATAAACCAAAAGCCCTAACCCTTAAAAGACAAGGAAAAATAGCTATTGTACAAAACAAAACACAAAAAATACTAAAACTGAGAAAGGAAAAGAAATAAATATGTATATACCTACAAACAAATCAACACAGCAAGAACACAAAAAGAAAAAGAGGGAAAAAAAGGATAAAAGATTCTTTTTAAAAAAATTTTTTTTAGTTGTAGGTGGACACGATATCTTTATTTATTTATTTATTTTTTATGTGGTGCTGAGGATTGAACCCAGTGAGTGCCTCACACATGCTAGGCAAGCACTGTACCACTGAGCCACAATCCCAGCCCGGATAAAAGATTCATTGCCGCAGTCTGGCTGGGCACAAAATCATGAGCCACTCACAGCCTTGTAGATTCAAAACAGCAATTCTTTATTCCCGACTCACACCGGCACTCTACACACGTTCTGAGGCAGCAGGATACGCCCTATTCCCAGCAGGGTCCACCTTAAACCTGGAACCGCCCTAAACCCAAGGAGCCGGATACTCCCTAAAACCTGATCTGCCTTAAACCGGGATCCACCCTGGTCCTTGAGCAAGGTCACCTTACTCAAGCATACATGCAATGTCACTGCAAATGACCTGAGTCTAAGACAAGCCCATTTCCACAATGGAGAGTCCTTCCTCTAAGCAACATGGGGTAGGCTGACAAGAAAATTTTGATGCGTCATTCCTACTTGGCAATGGCTCTTAGCAATTCATAATGAAAGAATTTTGTCCATTGCCCTGTGGTAGTCAAAACAGTTAATAAGGGTGGACGGTCCCTGCGTATGCCTGTCCGTCCTTTCCATTTCTTCTTGGGCTATGTACAGAGAGAGGGGATACAAGGGCTGAGGGTTGTTAACCCCTTCCTCTTCCTCTTTTTGTGTTGTTCTCTGAGCTGCTAGCTTTGAGTGGCCTAAAACTGAAGCTGGTTGAAATGGCTCTCAGCTTCTCTTCTCACCCGTATAAGGTAGGACAGAATGGGAAGTCCTGTTGGTTGGAGTTTTGTCTCGACAGTTTAGACAGATGCATTCCCAGGGTGGGCCTGCAGAGTTCTAAGAGAGAAGTTAAAACAGCTAGGACTTAGATCTATCAGGCTTAACTTTTTTTTTTTTTTTTTAAATTTTTCCTGGAGTGGTGAGGGAGCCTAGCTCTGGAGAGATTAAATCAACATACCCCAGGGCCAGGCTGATGCCAATGTCTGTGGGGATTCTGGAACTCAGGAGCCTCCCAAGAATTCTACTTGCTCCCAAATTCACCCCTCTGTTCAGTTTCCTGACTCTTCAGCGGGTCATGGGAGCTACCAGACTCAAAGGGAAAGTGAGTTGCACTCCCCTGTCTTTTTGGCTTGAATCCCCATAGGTACAATCTGGTGTGTGCTTGTTTCACTTATATTCCAGGTATACCCTAGGCCTCCTGCAAGGTGCTTGCAGGGGCAGCATGGCAATGCTTGATGTGATGCAATGTTGCTCCTGCAGCAGCAGCAGCACAGTGGCTGCCTCAAGATGGCTCCCTCCTCAGCTTTCCAGTTGCCAGTTGAGAAATGCAGAGCACTTTTCAGCCACCACTTTGTTGTGCAGCTTGTGGATCCGCTAAGTTCAGGCTGCGTTTCTGATCTAAAGTTTTTTCCATCTCAAATTTGTCTGTTGTGTTTCTCTGTTATCCCTCCCATCTGCGGTGAACCAGCATCATGGCCAGGGCCACTATCGATTTGGCTCCAATGTACTTTCTTGTTCCTTGTTCAATGAAACTATATTTCTGAGTCTCCAAGAAACACTCACTGCCTGATACTGAATTCCAGTGAATTTTCCCTCTTACACCCACCTTGCTGAGAAGCAGTCCTCCCACTGCTTGAATCCCAAGCCTGGAGCAAAACATATGGAGTGCTTCAGGATCTCACGTGTCATCTTTGTGTAGGGGCTATGCTAATCTTCTCAGCATCGTTCCAATTTTAGTATATGTGCTGCTGAAGTAAGCACTGGGTTTGGCCTTTGAGCTCATTTTAAATATTTCCCAAGTCTGTCAAAAGAAATGACTATTTCGTACACCTGGCTCAATATGTAGAGTATTACACAGGAACTTGTAACTTCTGACATGCATTCCTGGTATTCTTTTTTATAATTGTAATATCTCTCTGCTTCAGTTTCCTTGTTGTCTACTATATTGAGTGTTGGGAATATTATGAGGTATATAGAAATATGATCAATCATTTTCTCATTGGGGAAGGAAAGGAAGGAGAAGAGAACTCATTTCTTGAGGTAATACTTAGAGGAGTTTCCTGTATTGTGTTTCATTTAATCTTCCCTGCATCCTTAAAAATTAAATTTGGAATGTATCATTTTACGTAAAAGGATGCTGAAGCCTAGAGTGATAAAATGACTTGCCCACGCGTCACAGTGAGTCATTCCTGGCACTAAGATTCCTCATCAGATTTGTCTGACTCTGGACGCTGCGTCCTGCCCTTGCATCACATTGCCTCCCTTAAAACAGACTAACAAAATTAATCCCGAAGGTGCTCCAACAAAATTTAAAAGTAAAGGAAAATGTTTGTGGGGAGGTGGTGATCAGTGTGTTATGGGGTCTTCCATGGCTATCTATTGCCCTGGCAAATTTAAGAAATAGCTTCATCAATGTTTTTAGGGTATGTGCTTTTTATTTAAAAGGCATATATTTATTTTTATCATGTGAGGAATCGATAAGGTATGTAGACAGAAAAGTGGGAATAAAATGATGTAGATTCATTGATTTTATAACTTAGTTTAATTTTAACAATTATTTTGACTGTTGTACAGTTTTGATTTATGTTTTAAAAACTTTCGTCTTACATATTATGGAAAATTATCTGTTTTGTTCAACATATTTTCAGTGCCTGCTATTTTTCAAATCCCCATATTAGCCTTTCTATATTTAGATTGGCTGCCATCTCTAAATAGAAGACGCTTTGTGGAAAATTTACTAGTGTGGTAGCAGTTTCCTTTGCAATTCAGAAGAAAGTACTTTTTTTATATCCTCAGAGATGATAAACTTTGGTGACATTGACACTTAACTGAACTCACAAGGCATTGCCAGTTTATTAAATTACCATGTGGGACATTCTTTTTTTTTTTTTTTTTTTTAATGTGTGAAAAACTTGCTTCTCCATTTAGGATACTTTCTTTGCTAGTATCAAAGTGTTATGGAAGTTGAATTAGAAGATCGAGTGTTTGAATTTGATTTTACAGCAAAAGGTGGGAGTTGTTTAGCCAGGCAATTCTAATAAAGTATCCCACCCTCAGGAGGGAGTCCCTCTCTAGTGGCTATAGTGCACATCTCTCCTTGCTGGTGGTGGATGAATACTGACAAATTGCTTCACTGCACCTTGCCTTTCCACCTTGCTACACCCTCCCCTTATGGAGTTCAAGGCTAATTACTGTGGCATTTTTCTTTCTTTCTTTTCTTTTCTTTTTTTTTTTTTTCTACTGTGGCATTTTTCTGTTGTGCTGCTTGGCAGACCCGGGGAATCTCCTTTGCTGTGTTGTGTTTTGGATTGAACTTCTGAGATCTAGAGCTGCCCACTGTGGTAATCTGCATTTGATTAGCCACCACACCTCCATAACCTCACCCCTGTTTTAGAGGTGCTACCTTACATTTAGTTGATTTGTTCCAGGATCAATGTTTACTCTTTTGTACAATGCATCAGAGTTGTACTCCTTTGCATACAGGTACTCCACAATTAAGATAAGAGTGTATTCCTTTATAACAACGTCAAGTTCTGAGAGTAGGATTAAAGAGTGTGAGGCAGACCGGACCCAGGATTTCATAGTGTGGAGTAGTTACAACATTGGCCTCTGTGCTTTGCCTTGCTTGTGCTCCTGTTATTCATTCAGTAGTCCAGAAATGTCTTCACCTGTAAATATCCTCTAGGAGATTGAGTCCACTAAAGAGTCGCCTTTTTTTTGAGGCTGAGGGAAGACAGGTCCTTTGATATGTATTGGTCTTGTTTTGATAGATATTCTTCCTCTACTCTGTGGTTGGTAGAAAACCATCTAGCCTCTTGAGTAGATTGCTAATTATTGGTATTAGTAGTTACTGGTATTAGTGGAACATGGATCAGGATTATATTGGTTCTTCTGCTATTTTTTCTTCTACAAAGTGTAAATGCATGCTGTATTTATACAGTTTTCTTACACACTTATCTGAAATAACACTTCGTTTAATTGGAATCTAATTCTGATTATTAGCATGTCAATTATCCTTTACTTTAGATTTATTTAGTTATACTTAGTAATTATAAGCCTGTACTCACCTCCTACCATTCATTTAGAATTTGTATTTTGTTTTTGTGACCCACCTGAGCTACTCTTGATTTGATTTGTGAAGCTGGAGTTATTCAGGTGCTTTGCACGTTAACTCAAAAAATTCTGTTTTAGATGCTAGATATGGGAATAAAAGAAAGAATTATCATGAATTCTGCCCCCAAACAGTTCAAAACGGAGGATACAAGGCTAGGAAAAGAATAAGTTTTGTTATATGTTTAAAATTATTAATAGAAATTGATGTATTTGTATGTGTGTACTACACACATTTAATATGAACTATATAGTACTTACATGAAAATATTACTGGAAGAGTTTAGTATTTAGGAAAATATCATAGTAAGCTTGATGAATGCTATTAATTTAAGTATCTGAGCTAAAAAGGGACCTTTAAAAATCCTTTTTCCTTTTAACATGAATATAGTTCTACCAGTTCTCTGTTGGAAATCAGCGAGAAGGAAGACTTTTATGCCATGGACATTACCCTGAAATCCTTGTGGTGGATGCTACCAGCCTTGAGGTATTATACTCCTTAGTATCAAAGATATCACCAGACTGGATCAGCTCCATGAGTATTATTCGATCCCATCGGACACAAGGTCAGTGTGTTCCCTTTAGATGTCTGCTTTATGACTTACTGCTTGGTTTACTGTCAAGTTCTATAATTTGTTAAAATTAATAATTTTGATTATAGTATGTAAGAAAAAAGAAGAAAATTAAGAAATGATAGCTTTAATAATTTGTGATCTGTTTCCTGCTTCATAAAGGAGAATTTGATTTAATTAAGATTTAACATGTTACATTGTCTTCATTCTATGGGAGGAATCACTAGCTGTGGGCCTCAGCCACATGTGATTTTCTGAAGTGGAGGAGGGGTATTGTAACCCTTTTTGGGTATGGTGGGAGAAACTGTGACTTCACCTGTATATTTATGGATTGTGGTTTTGTCACTTGCTAAGAGACACAGGAAGTATTTCTGTTTCATGTGGAGAAATTGAAAAGGGAGGAGATTAATCAAAGCTCCTGGTAAAGACAAATGAGAAGTTATACTCCATTTATGTATGATGTGTCAAAATGCATTCTGCTGTTATGCATAACTTAGTAGAACAAATAAATATATTTTGAAAAAAGATCCTGTCTGGTACATACTTGACATAATTATTACTGTCTTTTGTTCATTTGTTTTGAATTAAAAATCTTTCAGTAACAACCTTGAGAGCAAATATAAATTATTTAAGAAAAGAACATTGATAAATGCTGAATGTTGAGTGTATGTTATTTTAAGCCTATTGAGGAACACTCTTTTTCTCCCAGTGGCTACATAGTTAGTTAGATGTTTTTCTATAGAGATTGACTGTTAGCTCCTACCACCACAGGGACTTTATTTATTGAGTGCTTACAGTATCCAGTATAATATGCTAAACAGTTGTATTTGACCAAGTTTCACAGTACCCCTTGAGATACTTGCTGTTGTTATTTCTCATATAAATGAGGAGACTGATGGGTGGCAGAGTCTTTGCCTAAGAACCCAGAGGTTCTCAGGTCTGGCTGACTGGACTCCAGAGTTGTTACTGTGTTCCGTTGCTTACATGAAGGAAGTGTCTTCAACTCTGTGGGAGCTTGCCTTTGCTACCTCTTGAGTGGGCTGGAGTTGATCCATGCACTGTAGCTTGCTGGCTCCCACTCTAGACGATGAATAGTCTCTGCTAAGAATGCCCGAAGCGATGTGGGTTGTGATGTGTAGTGGAGAATTACAGCTTTCTTCCTGAGCATAATAGTGAAATGAGATTTGATTTAATATTCCAGGCAATAGGGAACTCAGTTTTTGGATGTTTACCTCCAATCTTAGTTACAATCAATGACTTCTTTAAAAAAGGACTATTTTTGTGACCAAGCAGTTTGCATATTTTGAATTTTTATACTCTATATGCATGTACACTTTGGTCTAAATGGAATAGAATGTAACTTTAATGGAAAATTTTTTGGAGTCCATGCAATTCTAGATGTTATCTGTTTATAATGTTGCAAACATGCGATTTTCAATCAGCAGTTACCTTTTTCTAGTCTATGGGTATTTCAGAATTTTAGATATATTGTTGTGTTATAGCTTTACTATATAGGGGTCATGAATTGTGATCAGTGCATTTCAGTGCCTTCTGTTGCTTAGGGAACTACTGCATGTGATATGATGAGGTTTTTTACTTAAAGATGCAAACAATTATTTTAGCAAAAGCAGTGACTAACCTTTATTAAGGATTGGTATATACTAATGTTATACCTAAGGTGTATCTTAATTTTGATAACAGCCTATTAGGATAGGCCCTGTGGTTATCCATTTCTATTTGCTTTTAGGTAAGTATACCAAATTTAAGATAGGTTCGTTAAGTTATCCATAGTTCATTGGTTAATTAGTAAAGAAAAAAGCAATTTTGATTTTACCATACATCTCCCTAACTCTGAAGTCTTGTCCTCTCAAAAGTTTACATATATTTACTATGGTGTCGTGACTGGTCCCTGAACTGAGAGTTATGAATTGAGGTGACCTCAAAAGGTTTGGGGATTTCACCCCACCGGCACGCACACCATCAGATCTGTAGAGGACATCAGCCAGCAGTCCTTTCAATTCTGACACTGGCTGGGCAGAGCATCGGATCCCACAGGTTAAGGGCTCAGATGCAAGACTT